GAGAAGCGGCTCGTAAGTCGTATGCAATCACGGAGATTGTACCACTAAATCCTGCGCCCTCTTGCATGTTTCAATGCACGACAGCAGATTGTTTCCATGCTTGGTCGAAGAGACTGTATCACAACGACTTCATGAGAACCAATCGCGACGGGTGCCAGGCAGCCACCAGGCATGCTCTCGACAACCTCGCATGCAATCCGCTTTCCAGGGGGGCTGGTATAACAAATCTCAACTTCGCGGCCATCTCGAACGTCACCTTGCCAGCCCACGTTCACACTGATTGCACAGTAGACTGACCGCTCTTCCGCCGTCCGAAGGAGAGTGACGGTGATGAATGACTGGCGCAATCGCGTATCTAGCCGGATCCAGTACAAGGTAGAGGGACTAAAAAAGAGGGATATCTCCGTTGGGAATTTCGATCGGTACCCAGTCACAACCCTCCCTGAATTCCCCGTGTACCGGACAGGTGCCGGACAGCACCAATGGCCCATGACTTCGGATCGACCGACCTTTGCTTGTGTCACCAATGCAGACCCACTGACCAACCGAGATAGTCTAGTCCGGTCTGAACTTCGATTGACAACCCTAGATGTGAAGTGATCGAATCCTTGTACTGCAGTGTGTACATACGCGAGAGCTGTAGCATGCATGCAAATCTTCGAATCGAGAGTTCACCATGGCTGGTCGGGATCCAGGACGGCCCACGAAGCCCCACGACGCCTGTGCTCCCCTTTCCACGGCTGATCTGCATACAGCATACATGGACCAAACCCTCTTAGCACCCTGCGCGCTTTTTACTGTAGGAGACGGCGGGGATGAATGACGTCCGGCAACGAACCATACATGACCTGAATGGCATAGTATCACTGGCATTGATACGACTGCGACTCTGTGGCGGTTATCTAAAAGACATTTCAGCTCCGTGTTTCTGGCAGAAACGAAGAATATTTGCTGGCCCTGATCGTCAGCGTTTCCGCTAGGGAAAGCGGCAGATCTTTCGACTCACGTCGACTCTGACTGAGATCAGCCCCGACTGATGCCCAAAGCTCACGCCGAATGCCTCCTGGGACGAGGCCCTTCCGTAGCACCGGCTGCAATGTGCTTGACGTAGAACTTGAATCGGTAGGAAATGCCAATCCCGGCAGCCATGGGCTCCTGGGCAGATGGTGCACTGGAAAGCAGCCAATGAAAGTCGACCAGATTTCTTCGTTAATACTTTTGGATAGACATTCTGGGCGCAAGATTCGGCTTGTCCGAGAATCTGAACCTCCCCCCATCCTGTCGAATTAGCGGGCAGTCTATGCCGCTCGACACATGAATGCACCTCTTTGTAGGTGGTCTCCACCAGTACGAAAAAGACATGAGGTGCAGCAACAAATCTCAGCTGCAATCAAGACCTGATGACCACCTGAGAGGTGCTTGGTGGCTTACAAGCCAATGTACCTTGGTGGAAACGCGCAGGCGAATCATCATGGCCATAAATTTCTGACCGGTTGTTTAACAGCTGTTCGGAGCTATGAGACATCCCAAAAGGCGTGGTTCCGAAGCTCGCGCAGCTCAACGTAGTCGCAACGCAGACGTGGGAAACGACTGTCAGACTCTTCCTGCTGAGAACCGTCATTGCGCAGGAAAGTCACAAGTGTTAATCCTATTTCCTCAAGGAAAGGCAGCACCCGACCGTAATTGAGACCAACCTGATCCAGACCATGACTGTCGTCAGAGAGACAAAATCGAATGTTTCTCTCCAGGGCAGCCTGACAGGATCAGTCCTCATTGGTTCGTGCGCTGTCTGAATGGCTTACCTGACATATCTCCGCCTTGGGGTATGGCTCATCCATTCCTTTCCGCAAACTGGCGGAATTGATTTCAAGGATACCCCCGTATGAGGCGATGTAATCCAAACTGCGCAGGATCCGATCCCACACGCCGCTCATATTTTGAAAACTCCCATTCGGGCTATCGCTCTTGAGACGGATGAGGTCAAAGTGACCCACTACAGGTGGCTGGAGAGCACGTAACATAGCCAACTGCTGGTCGAAGTAGTCTTCGAAGAGTCTTGCGTCTGTTCCGCCTGACACGTGGCGTGCTTTTTCGTACATTTCACGGTCGTAGTCAATGGGAATAGTATGCATATGATGAACAGAACCGATAAAGAAATCATACTGATAGGTCGAGATGCTGCGCTTCACGAGGTCGGCCGATTCGGGCCGGATCCATTCCCCCTCGAAGCCAACAAGCAGGTCGATTTGGTCTTTGTATTGCTCCCGCAGCCTGTTTGCTTCTGCAAAGTAGGCGCTTTCGTTGCTGTAATGTGAAGCAAGCGTCACACCTGCTTCGATTTCTTCTGGATACCGGTCTTCATCATGACGAGGCATGTGCTCCGTTAGCGCTAGGACCTGCATGCGTTTGGAGATGGCAAGATTGATGATGTCTTCGAGAGAGTCACGGGCGTGGCCCGGACAAAACTGGCCCGAATGACTGTGGTGAGAAAAGGGCATATTGGATGAGTCTGCGGGGGCGCTGTTGTCTGAACCTAGGTACAGATCGAGGAGATCTGTACAATACCTTTGATGGCGAGACAGAATATACCTCTGGATGAACTTTGTGGTGGGAATTTTTTTCCACCAGCTCAATAAAGAGCCGAAGTGAAGCCGGATGAAATTCCTCCCATTTGAAGAGGAGGCTGCTGATATCCCAAATACTTAGGTACAGACTCACGATGAAGCCTCCAGACGCTGGCCAACATCGTGTACTAAACCCATGATGCTCGGAGACCAAGTATGAGAATGGGCTTCTCCGTTCAATGAGTGGTGGACTGCATTCTGCCCCTCTCTCAGTCTTCGAAGTTCGAACATGCCACGCCAGCGGGTGGGACAAAATCAGAAGGAAAGGTATCCAGTGCAAGCGCAACCGATGCAGTCGCTACTACTGCCAAAGCCCTTCGAATGCCTGGCAGATTAACTCTTCTTCATGTATTCTTGTTGACTACTAGTATCTCCAACAACCTGAACCACCACACACAATCGGGCGCAGTGTCTCCAACAGCCTCGTAACTCGGTGGACTACCCTCTAGGCCGAACTTTTCTGGCCCATCATCTTGCTTCTTTTTTTGTATTTCATTTCCACGCTGGAAGAGCGGGCGCCTTCTAACCAAAACAGGGCCCAGCTCTTTCTGCCCGGAGCAGCGGAACCTTCGCCCTCAGACCACTGTGGAAGACCTGATATCTTCGTCCACGAACTAAGGAAACTAGCTATCATCTTCCATTTCCTTTCTGAGAACCGGGACGCGCTGAATCCAACGGAGGATTGTGCATGTGTGATAAGAGTTGCACCAACAGCAAAACTCACGAGGCACATCCGTGGCTCAGAGGATATGGCGGCCACGATTCATGTCAAGGCTGTTCGATCGCATCTGTTGACTCGACCTTTTCGACTCGAACAAGTCTTGCCCGCGATAGCCACTTTTCTGACCACAACGGCAACCGAGCATTCATTCAGAAATTCGTTGAAGCACGAGTGGGTATCATCTACATCTACCCAGAAGCAGGCCACTCGTCCCGTTGGGAGGGGGTCAAAGGTGGCGGGGGCCCCTCGTGTGCAAGGTTATGTCCACAGCCATGCCACGTTTTTAGCAGGTGTCAACGCCAAAGCCAATGCGGCGGCAGTGTACGAGCACTGTACTGCCCTACCCACAAGAATTGAGACATGAGTATATCACGTTCTCGACCAACGACACGAAACTAAACCAACCACTGGCCCCGGAACACATGTGTCGGTAAAGATGAGTGGGAAGGGTGGATTCAATTCTGCGACCTCAATCATGAAAACCCGGGAGTAAAGGCATCTGCAGCCACCTGGCGCTGGAATACTCCAGCCAAGAAGTCATCTTTCCGAAGAAGATAAGGTTTGGGATACCGTCTGAGCTTACAGTAGCGCGTGGCCGTTAAACCCAGTTCAACTGTACCGGTCTGAGTTTTGTAAAGCCTTGGACGCTTTGACCGGCGGAGAGTCGCCTCTCTGTGCTCGAAGGAACGCATCTCAAAAGTCATCATACACACGGATCTCGCGGGACTTGCACACCCCCCTTTCGATTGAGCTTTCTACTGTACGTCGTACCTGGGCAAGGTCTTCGCGATGAAAACATGCCGAAATTTTGACGCCTCTCACGTGCTTCAACCTTGACAGGCTATGACAAGGTTCCAGCCTCTTATGCTTTTGGAATTGCATCCGACTTGTTCTAGACAGTCTGAGGGGCGGCCGATGCGGGCGAAAATCGTGTAATGGAAGACCGACATACGGGAGTTCGAGTGGATATGGTTATCTACTACGTACACTTCTCTTCGTGATTGTTATTCTGTCCACCTAAGCGTACATACTAGTAGGTACGTAGCAAGCGATCCAACCAACGTACAAGTAATTAACACGCCCACCGCGCCATCTTAAGTTTTCGCTTGAGAGATCTTGCATTTCGAATCCTCCCTTGGACTCGCTGTCAAATCGGCTGGATGGACTAATATAGTAGGCATGTTGTGGAGTTCGTGATGGATCGATCTGTAGTAGTGTACCAAGAATTTGGGCACGTCAACTAGCATCCATAATCTACATCGGCGCCAACATAAGTATCAGTGTGTCAATGATACTTGTTACTCGCATCCGCAGAAATCCGGCGGCAAAGATCATGTTCCACGTGATATCAGAATGCCATTTTGCGTAGGTGTAGCCGATGCTTGTGATACTTGTGGAAAAGATTTCCTTACTCAATGATCGAGACGAAAGCATCCGGGCAGATCTCCGCTTAACTTATGCTGATGAAGTAGTACTACGAAACAAACACTGACACTTTTACTATACCTTCAAGCACGCAAGGTAATACCGATACAAGGGTTCTAGAAGGGGCAAAAACAATGGTGATGGGACTCGAACCGACCTTCCCAATAGGCTAAAAAATTTCAAAAAATGAGGTGAGTACCGCAACCATCAGAAATGTGAGGTGAGTTGAGCGAGGAACAAGGGACTCGAACCCTCAACCTTGGCTTCACGACAAGATCTATCGATCAAGTAGGAGAGCCTAACAAGATAAATTAGAAATGAGTTCTAGAGAAGACAAGCGGGTATGACATACCACGCGCTACCATTGCGCCAATCCCCCATGAGGGAAAGCCCATCCGTTTGCGGATGAGAATGTCTGTCAACTTTCGACATCATTTCAAGCACTTTTGCCGCGTCTTTAGATTATAGCGTAAGAGTCTGAGTCACGTGATACAAGGATCTGACACGGCTAACAGAGCCACTCAGGGCCTAGCCACTCCAGGCTTACGACACTCGTACCCTCACGCCTGTATCTGCATATCACAGTACGAAGTACGATTAACCCGACTTCATCAGTCAGATATGCGTTCTCAAAGTCCAACGAGCCGTTGCCCACAGCTTCAATTATGATCGATTTTTGAGCGAACCCTTAGCCCCGATATCGATTCCATGAGCTTTCGGTAACCCGGCACATCCTCCCGACGCTGGTTGCATACTGGCCCAACGACCTCATGAATAGCGAAAATCTTGGGCACTCGGCTTGATCTAACTGTACAGACAGGGAAGAGAGTACGTAATCAGTCCGGTGTGTGCATTTCTACTCGAGTTGTCTCCCATCGTCGCTTCATGCTTCTCCGCTTCTGTCTGGCTCCTCTATCGCCGGCTTCGAAATTGAGGCCCTGGCCCAGGAGTTTACAGTGTGCAGAACCCCACGAAGGACAACGGCTTTTGCTGGCCTAACCATGTGCTGTTCGACGTCAACGAAGAGCAAGTTCAGACACAGGACCAGCCTTGTCCAACCTAGCTTTATTTTCATCGCTACTTTATGCACATGCGAGTCAGTCCGACAGCTCTCCAAACGATGAAAAGAGCTGCATATGAAGAGTGGGAACAGTGAGCACGCGCGCAACCCGCTCTTGGGCGAGAGACACGATGCGCAAAGATCCCACGGGACGTGTTGCAAGTGGACAATATTGATCATATACTGGTATATACATTTTTCATGAGCCTTTACCCGACATTGGCGCTGGCCAGAAATACAAAGCTCTTTCGGGGTTTCCGCAAAGAAACAGGTTTTATATCCTCGCCTTTTCGTACACTGTGGAAAATAATCGTTTGGACCATCCCGGAACAAACTTCAGATCCCCACAGATTCTCATCTGGGTCCATCGACATAGTACGGAATATGGAAACTTCAGATCGCATATCATCTAAGGCTCATTTTCAGCAGCCGCCTCGGCAGCCAAGTGTTCACCCTCTGGAGGATGCTTGGCCCCAACAGTGGCGTTCTTCGCGTAGATGCCATCGAGGGTGACATTCATCGCACCAGACTGCACCAGGGAACTGCGCAAGTCATCGAGAAGATCTTCGCCATCCTCGATACCGACGCACAACCGGATCAGATCTTCGGGCACACCACGCTCCGCTCTCGTCTTCGCATCGATACTGGCATGGCTCATGCGACAGGGCATGCTGATCAGGGAATTTACGCAGCCGAAACTGACGCTGATGGCCCAAAGTTTGGCAGATTCCACAATCCTTTCGGATAATTGAATATCACCTGTCTCAAAGGACAGAACAGCACCAGGCCCCCGTGACATGGTGTTGAAGAGATCGTATTGAGGATGGCTCTTCAGGCCAGGGTAGCGCACCTTGAAACCTGCTGATTCGAGGAATTGAGCAATCATCATGGTGTTGCTTTGTTGTGCGTCCATACGGACTTTCAGGGTCTTGATCCCTCTCATCAATAACCAGCAGTCGAATGGTGCGAGACCACAGCCCGACGCGTTAATGGTGAAGTATAATTTTTCGCCGAGCGCTTCGTCAGCGACGGCGATGACGCCGGCCATCAAGTCATGATGGCCGGAGAGGTATTTCGTGCCGGATTCGTAGACGATGTCTGCGCCCAACTCGAGCGGGTTTTGCAGGTATGGAGAGAGCATGGTATTATCGACACTCACGAGACATGCCGGATTGGCCACGTGCGCCATGTTTGCGATGGTGGGAATGTCCACAATCTTGATCAAAGGGTTGGTTGGTGTCTCGAGCAGGACCATCGCCGTCTTTTCACTCAGCACTTCCTGCACCTTTTCGGGGGCCGTGGTGTCGACATGGTGGACGACGATGCCGCCGTGTGTGGACAAATATTTTAACAGTCTGTGTGATCCTCCATACAAATCATCTCCAGTCACGACTTCGTCGCCAGGTCTAAGCTGGCGAGTTATTACGTCGAGGGCACCCATGCCGGAGGAAACCACTAGGGCTCGTTTTGCGCGCATGATTTTCGCAAGGTGTTTCTCGAGGTGCGTGCGGGTTGGATTGCCGCTACGGGTGTAGTCATAGTCAGAGGCTCCTCCAGTTGCGGAGGTCTGTTTGAAGGTGGCGGACTGTAGGAGTTAGTAGGAGTGGTGTCATAGGAGTGAGAGAATAGCTGACCTGGTAGATGGGCATGCTGCTGGCATTGTACTGGTCATTGCCGTCGGAGAAAACCAATTGAGTTGCGATTGCGTAGTTTCGACTGCCCCGTGGACTGGAAGGGGCCGGCGAAGGAGGCATATCATGTCCATCCAGGTCTACCTGTGCGAAAGCCTTGCTCATCGCGCTGAGTTTGGGATTTTTCAAGGGCGCTGTGAAGGAAGAAGGTGACTCAGACATGGTGGCGGCGGGGAAAGGGTGGTGGAGGGATGAGCTCGAAGACCTGGAGCGTAGAGATGAGGATGTTCAAGGACATATGAAATCAAGGCAGTCCGGTTGACGAGGTCTGGGATAAAGCCAGAAACCAGATGGCAATGGCTCACAAGAATACCGAAATCGAAGAGAATGGGTCTGGATGCGGATGGAGAGGCATCTTGGAGTAAGAGGTTCGAACGGTGGAGCAATACAGCAATGACGCGATCGGCTAACCCTTTTCACAGCCCAGATTTTTCTTCGATTCCTCGGCCTCGGCTTGAGCCTCATATTCATCATTCTGCAGCAAATACCGACCACTTCTATCATGCATTTTGTCGACAGAAGAACGCATCGATCTCGAATTTAGACCCGACATCAGAAGTGCAAGCGATTTCAGCAGAAATGAAGGTGACGAAGCCGCAGCGGATTGTGCCATTCGTTCTTCGGCAGATATTAATGTAGTCAAAGGCAGTCCCATCCTGAAACTTATCCCTTACCTAGTATGTTCGCAATGTTCGAGAGTCCAAAAACATCGGAGCCCGCATCTACTCGGCGCTCGTGTGGATGAGAAAGGGAGGTTCTTCATCTCTAGGAATGGGAAGCCAGAAGGTGCAGGCACATTCAAGAGAACTTGTAACAGAAGCCAACTCACTTACATGGCTGACTGAATGGATTCAAGCCGGCCAATGTCGGCCTTCATCAGGCTGTAGCAGTGAGGCATTATTCGGATAGCTTGGACCTCATGAGGGCGAGGGAGTCCTGCAACGCCTTCAGAGCGTAAGTCGTACCCTAGCAAGCCTAGTTAGGTTCCGCCATGTTTGCAATGGGCAAAGGCATCTCATTACGAAAGTATCACCGGTGTTAGCATGATTACTGTTTTAATATCAGAGTGCCATCAGAACGGACAACATGTCAACATGCTAGTGAAGTGATCCCGTTTCTGGAAGAACAACATTAGGGATGTTTACTGTCATGCTGATAACTTGCACGCCTGATGACGCGGAAAGATACTGGGCATGGCTGGGTAATGCCGCAACTTCTACCATAGTATTCACGGTGGCTCGAGCGTGCTCATCAGACCGGCTTGACATGGCAGACGTCTGTGTCTGTTTCAAGTCCACGTCAATACACAACTCATACTCCGGCTGGCAAGGATAAGCAAGCCACCATTCGTCGCAACCCACAACATCGCCATCTATCATAACAGCTGCGCACACGTCGACCAGAGTCCAATGCGCAGCGTATCATAACATATGTGAAACAGTGATGGAATGCGCATTCATCGCCCAGAGCAAAAGCCAGCAGTTGTGGATGGCGCGGGATGGTTATGTACCGCATAAACCTCCGATGATCAGATCGCAAGACAGCCCGAACCAGGAATGAAAGCTTCCAAGGTGTCAAGGTGAAGTTTTTGGCTTTACTCAGTAACTTACCCCTGAATGAAACAAACGGACAAGACGGCCAGCGGGGCCGATGCTTACGAGGGAGAGACGAGAAATGCTCGGCTTCCCTGTCTGTATTATCGGTGGTACCTTGTTGGCTGCGTTGTGAAAGGGAATGCTGCCAGGTCGACACCAGTGAGATCAAGCGATATTGGTCGGCATGTACTCGTAGATGTGCACAGCAGCTGCAGTACTATGGTAGAATGGACGTACCATACTCCGTTTTTAACACTTGGGTGACACTTGCATTTGGTTCCTGGACTGCCGGAGAACTGGATCCATGGCGGCAGGCAAGGAGGATTTTATCCAATCCACTCAAGGACCGGCGTTTCGCCAAGTCAATGGCTGACACGCTGTCGCTCCTTGGAGCCCTGACCCTGAAATTGCCATGCTTCTTTTCTCTCTGCCATGTTACTGGAGGCTCTGTCAACAGGGCCGCGTGTCGCGCCAGCCATTCTGGCCAAAGCAGAGACTGAGTCGCGACTTGTCTCTGCGCAGTGCCGGCCTGGTTGCAATCGGAAGCACAAAATGTTTTGATGATGGTCTCGCCCAAAAATATGCTCATTCCTTGGGAGCTCTTCAATCAGTCAGGGCCCGGCCATGAAAGAACACACTCTTCCGAGCAAGACATGGTTGCAGTTCGAGTTGCATGGCTCGTATGGAAGGCTGGCTCGCTCGATACCTACCTTGGCTTCACCAGCCAACGCTATAGCCAACCAGATTCTCAGCGAGATTGATTGCGAAATTGGCCAGAGCGGAAGAGCCAGGGTCAAGAGAAATGCAGCAAGGCCAACCGGGCTTGTGTCACGTAAATTGAGCGTTTGACGGTAATTTTGGCCAAGCCCTTCGCAGTTAGTACCACAGCTTCAGCATGCTTCGGACTTCCTTCAGGCGCTCCGATCACCACCTGTAATGGCTTAGGGTTGTAATTTATGTGGAATCCGCCTTACCAGGTCCCGTCTTTACAGGTGCCATGGTTCAACGGCCCCAAAAAAAGACCTTGCACGCC